GCGTGAGTCTGTGTTAAATTAAGCAAACTATTCGAAGAAGGCAAATCGGCTTTTTCCGCCCAACAAACAATCGCCGGATTTTACGATGCATGCAGAAAATTTCCAAATACAATCAAACTACGCCAGTTAAATACACTTCCCTGAGTATTTAGCTGGCGTTTTATTACAGCGATGTTTGGATATATTCCAGAGTTTTCCAGGAAAACTTTTTAGTTGTGCAGACAAAACCCGTTTATTCTCCGTAACTCTATGCGAGAAGTTTGCGGGTTGGAAAAAAGTGTAAAATGTCACCGGCGAATTTTCGTTCACTCTACCATGAAAGGCCCTGTGCGCTTCAGAGCGCGTTTCTTCTCGCCAGGTCGCTGAACCAACACATAAAGCTTTCATTTCGTGTTGGATTGGGATTTATTGCTATTGGGTTTAGGGATATTAAATATCCAGCAAGTTCTAACCGGCAGACTATCGGAACATTTCCCAGAAGATTAAGTAAGTATCGAGTTTCGTCTTGTAGGATTACGCTAGATGGTTGCATTTTTTCATTACCTGTTTGCGATGTAAAGTCGGAAATCAAGTGGGTCTTGATCTCATATATATAATATCTCCTTGCAGAGTAAGCAGTTTTCATATAAACCAACTGACTGCGCCATGTTTTATTGGTGCAGATCCCGAACTTAAGCAGTTGTTTTTTATCAAGTTTTCTGAAAATCGCCCAAGTGCCTTTTCTCTGTATACTTGTTATGGCCATCAATCGCATAGGGATAACATTTGGCATTATGGTCGGCTTGCTAAGCGGATCTAAATCACTTGACCAGTTGAATGCACTTTCTGGGGGCTAATAAATATTCACTATACTCTAGCAATTTCCACTTTCGACCAGTTAAATCGCATTTAGATTGCGTGAAGCAGGTCGCGTAAGCTATGGGTCTTGTAATTTTTTAATGCCGATTTGGTGCTCAATTGGAAAATCGGTTAATCGCCCGTTTCACGACTGCCGTGATTGGTAGGCATTTTTTTCATTTGTTTGCACAGTGGAGGTCATTCCGCGTCCCACGACTATTTTTCTCCGGCTCTATTGTGCGATCAGAATGATGCAATTTTCATTCAATTGGCATTTGTCGATTGTTGGGCTCTCGATGTTTAGGGACAATGTTGGCGGTTTGCATGCTTCAAATGCTATTAAGGTGCGTAGGAGGTAAATCGAGTTTTTGGTCCATATCAAAGTTTGACATTTTCTAACCCGGGAAGCGCGTTGTTTTTTGACGAAAAAAGTGAGAAGTTTCAGCGTTTTTAAAGTCAGGTGCCTTCTAAAGATGATAAAACTTTCAGACTGCTACCTACTTGGCTTAGTTGGGAACTTGCGATTTTAGAAAGAACAGAGTGTAGTTGAAGGAAAACATCCATATTTACTAAGGTGTCTACAGGGGCGGATCCAGCTTTAAAGTCAGGGGGTGTTATCTATGAAATTAGAAAAATGATTGTCGTTTTATGCAAGGGTGGCGCAAGATTATTGCAAAATTTCATGTTTTCCGTCCCGTTTTGCATGTTTCTCGGAAGCAAAATTATCAAGAACGCTCGTTTTTACCTCATTCTAGAGATAACTAAATGGTCTTTATTTATTCGAGCCACAGAATTCGTTTTGGCATCGTTGGATAGAGAATTGAATGGGCCCCCATGACCTGATGATTTTAAGAAAACTTTCAGCATTGTCAGAGTCAAGTGTCTTCTAAAAATGATCAAACTTTCAAGTTGCTACTTGCTTTAGTTTAGAAGGTGCGATTTTATAAAAGAGAGAGTAAAAACATCAATTTTGAGACCCGCATTTATTAAGCTGGCAAAGTTCACGATTCTAGGAGACTTATGAAACTTTCAGCATCTTGAAAGCTGGGAAAACTTCCAAGTTGTCACTAGTTTTAATTTGGAAGATGCCATTTTTTTTAGAGCAGATCGCATTGAGTGAAATGTTGCGACCAAAACTATTAAGTTCTATAAACTGCCTCACCCTGTATTGAACAAATCGAATAATCGTTTTTACGTTGCTTGTACAAATGCCTCTTTCGGCCAGCTGAATTGATCGTAAACAGTTAGTGCCCCACAACATTTTAATCATTTAAGCAAACGCATAAATGAATGTCTAATTGTCGTTGCATTAGAAATCCAAACGGCTTCCGCATTAGTAAACACCATGCGAAAATTGCAATTAAAACGAAACACGTTGCTCACAGCTTTGATTAAAAGCTGCCATTGTTTTCGCTTGATTGGCCTTAAAAGCTTTTCCATCATTGATTTTGCCGTGTCGATGAAAACGTGCATTTGTTTGAAAAACTAGAAAGCCTTCAGATGTTTCACTGCCCCAGTTCGATGATCAATCGAGTAAGGTAATAAATATAATAATAAAATAAACTGGTAATAAATAGGTTCATTGGCTGGGGAAAAACAATCGGTTCGTGTTCGAACGTTGAAAGTCGTCGGTCGGTCTGATGAAGGACAGGCGAAACGTTTGGGCGGCGAAAGTGGCAATAAAGACACGTGCAGCCGTAACAACTTATTTGATTGTTTCCTTGAATTTGTTATTGCTCAAAGTGGGTCGTAAAATGTAACCGAAATTTGTTGCTACAATCGCTACCTGCTTGTAAGAGCGGCAATTGCGGTGCCAAAACGAGTCAAATTATACCAAAGTAGGAATTAGCTAATACAAAGAACCGTAATTAAAGTTGTAACAAACCAATGGATTGTTTTGAGAAAATAAAAGTGAAGTTGTCCAGGAAAATTTAGTTCGCCGCAACTGAACAGCTAAATGTTGAAGCGTTGAAATAATGAAAGGTTTCCCTTCAGATTCACTAGAAATTTTTTTTGTAACATGATTATGAGGCGAATTTAAGTCGTTCAGTGGCAAAACTCAAGCAAACGCTGCCAGCCCTCAACCATGATTCTCGTAATTGCAAAACCTTTGAAAATATGCATTGAAACCTTGACGAAATGCAATAATAAAATAACTAGTTTCATAAATAGCCTTTATGTAATCTGTGGCGAAAAACCGAGCCATTTACATCCATGATCCACTTCCAAGTATAAACTGCCAAGAAATTGCTCAAATTGCATAAATCTACACTGTAATGACACAAATATGCAGAAGCAGGCGGATTTTCTGCAAAATGAGCTCCGCTATTCGATTACCGCAAATGGAAAAAGTTGTTGTTGTAAGACAGTCAACAATTTATAAGGAAGAGATCGGAATGCACAGTATGCAAATAGATATGAACTATTTGTTGCAAACAGGTAGCGTGTTTACATCGATCAGCCGTTCGTTAATTGTGCAGATCTAACGCTTTAATAAGGCCGCAAATTTCAAGAAATTTTGCTGAAAAGTAACAGTAAATATCAACAATTGGATTAAATAGAATATTGGAATCTAAATCTCATCTAATATGATTAGATCTAGGTTTGAAACCGCTCTTGGGGGTGCCCGAAAAACTAGTTTTTGCGAGTTTTGCTCAATGTGTGCATACAATGAGTAATGAGCAAAACATTCCAAATCTGTCCCAGCTTGAATGCAGGCGATTTTCCTGAAAAACCCTCCCGGAAGAGCGTGATTGACAAGGCTCATTTCCGCAAAGATTTTAAACTCTAGCTGCAGCTGACAAGAAGCGATCTGTTAGAGAAGGCACGCTCAGTGGTCTATTCTAATCCGAGGCATGTGTCGCGACTTCGATTAAATGGGCGGAAATCGACGGAAATTGAGTCTAGTCGCGCTTGAAAAGTGGCATATTTTCGCCACTTTTCCATATTGTTTGTTGTTCGGCAATATCACAATGCGCCAACGTTCCCCGCACGAAGAGCGAATAAAAGGAAAAACTCCCCGCCCGAACCACTCGAACACAAGAGGAAAAAAGAAAGATTGGTATATACTATACAAGGCAACCTACCTAGTCACGATTGTTCGGAAATGGCTTGAAGCTGTTTCGTGTTTGTGTCTAGGCATATGTGATATTTTATATAGAAAGCCACTTTTACATTCTAAGATGGTTTTATTGCCGCTGTGCGACATAACGTATTCTTTAATATACAGGGTTATTCAATTCAGTTAATATTGCTCCTTTGATCTGATGCGTCATTTCAACGATCAGATTGTGATCATTTGCCTATTATTAGTGTCCTTTTCAGGCCTGAGGCTCGTCCAATAGATGGACGACCCTGAGATCCAAGAAACGGTGGAAGCCATCTTGGGCAAAGGGGCCAAAGTAGTCGATTGCGAGAAAAAGTCCTCGATCCGAGAGGAAGAAGTGCTCTACATCAATGGCATTCCCGTCCAATTGGAGGGCCGCGATGGGATGGCCATCAAGGAGGCACTGATGACTGGCCAAGTGCCTCCTTGCGATCTATTGAACAAGCTCCTCATTGACAGGTGAATGGCATAGGCAACTTAGATACATTGGAACCTTAGACCCTTAGATACCTTTAGAGCTTTTGGGACACCCTGTACATTACAAAAAATATTTTTAAAATGTGCGCTCGGCAGGCGTCGGGCAATTCATAAAATAATACTTTTCAACCTTCCGTGCCGTATAGCGTGAATAACCCTGTATACTAGAGCAGTTTGTCAGTTTCCTTCCGAACTTTGTGCAGCTTGAGTGGAATGATTCAGATAAAGAAGGCCATAGTATTCATACTGTGCCCATATTCATAGTCAGTCAATGTGTCTTTCTTTGTCTGCTTCATTAAATTAGGGGCGCGACAAGGACGGATATGGGGCGAGCGTGGAGGGGACCAATTTTAGGAAGGCCGTCGGCAAACTGCCCTGGTCAATTTATTAATTTCCGTACAGGGTGTGTTGAGGAAAAAACGCCCAGTCTCCGACTAACAAAATACCGCCTTACCTACGCAACTGTTGAATTCAACTTCAATTCTTCCCATAACTAATTTCGTTGATTTTAGTGGCATCCTGAAAGCACCAGTCAAACTGGACACGTCGCTATCGGTAAAAAGCACCACAGTGATCAAGGAAGAAGTGACAGTGTCAAGGGATGGAAAGATAGTGGATGAACGAAGCAGAGAAACGAAAGACCACTCGTACTACACTAGCGCGATGACGGAAATTTTCGAGCCGATCAAAGTGCTCCCGACCGCTGAGCTGCTGAATGGAAAGTACAACGGTTGGTCCCAGTCTAGACAATTTGCCCGATTTCCTCATGGATGCAGCATAATTTTGTTGGTTAGGTAGTCCTAACGACACATTCACCAGCGGCTCCAAGTGGTCAAAGTTCGGGAGTAGTTCGAGCGCTTCCAGCTACGAGTCTGAGCACGAGCCGCCAATGAGCTACGGCGTCCCCAAACAGTGTCTTAGCAAGGATTCGGGACATATGACGTCGAGCGCGACTGAGAAAATGGACTTTACTCCCAGCAGCATCGACTCGTTGAGCTCGTACGATGAAACTGACTATATATGCGAGCAGCTGAGCAAGTGTGCGAGTTTCGCACCCACCAATGGGTACACGAACGGATTTTTAGTAAGTTTGGCTTTGGATGAAGGACTGCGGAAATAAAAAATGCGTTTGTGTTTTATTTCCGTTTAAGCAACCCTCTTGGTGTTCCATTAAAACTGACGCCATTGATCATTGTTCTTAGAACAAAAAACTGGCGTTTTTCCCACAGTGAATTTCGCATCGATGAAAGACGCGATCGAGTGCAGACAATGATAGTGACGGCTTCCGTTTGATGGAAAAGTTTCCCTTATGAAAAGTTTCTCCATTAGGCAAAGTGGTGGACGTACGACGAACAATCAATTACCGCTCCATGTGAGCGACGTGGATTCTGTTGTTTACTACCAGCAAGAAATAATGGCGTTATTTGCTAGTGGATTTCAAATTTTGCATGCAATTTTCGATATTTAATGAATCCGGAAGCTTAATTAGAACCTTTGTTTTCAGCCGACGATATTTGGGACTGTTGCTTCGGATCTAACACCAAAGGACTGTTCCAATCGACGGGTGAGTTTCATTTTTTACCAATTAGCTTTGATGCTGTTGTACGAAACACACTAGAACCAATAACTTTCACTTTAGCGTTTGCGTAACCGTTTGCTTCCAATCCGCAAATCACATCAGTGCCATACAGTTGGTATGTGTCTTGTAAATATTTTAGAGCGATTTTATTACAGTCGTTAAAGCGACCCAAATTCCCACACGTATTTAGGCAATATCGAGCTGGTTATTTGACGCTCTATCAATAGAGTTTAATTGAAAATCTATAGTTTCATGGGTTTTTAATTAGTTTATTTTAGACGTTTTTTGTTTGGCTCGCAAGGTTCTTCAATATAATTTTTTTCCAAATATCGATTTCCCAATTTTAATACAAGCAATTTAATACGGACGTTTATTTAATTGCAATAATACTGCTGCTTTTATTGGTGCAAGCAAACTGGCTCCACTCGGTCCGAACCCCATCAACCCACGTGGTTTCCAGGGAAACGCTATTGTTTTCCTATTGGCTCAAAACAGTACCGCTTACATCCAGGAGGGGGGTCATGGGAGTCATAATCCTCCCCCCCCACTCAATTCTCTATCCAACGATGCCAAAACGAATTCTCTGGCTCGAATGGTTCAAGTGGATTTTGCAACTCCAAAAAAAACCACGCAAATCTAAAACTTCTTGAATTCAAGGCTTTTTGAGAAAACTGCCAACATTTCCCCATCCATGGTTCACTTTCTAAAAAGGCCATTTATTTCTGTCTAGATTGATGTACAAATGAGCGTTCTTGCTCATTTTGCCTCCGAGAAATGAGCAAAAACGGGACGGAAAACATGGAATTTTGGCATAA